CACGTCTGGCAACTTCTCTGACTCTATCTTATGTATCTTTTTTTTTTTCTGGAGCTGAGGGCTGAACCCAGGGCCTTGCACCTAGCTAGGCAAGCGTTCTACCACTGAGCTAAATCCTCAACCCCTATCTTATGTATCTTGTGTAAGTGATATCATGCCATATGTGTCTATCTGGCTTATTGCAGAAAGCCCAGTGTCTTATAAGTCCATTTATACTGTCGCGTATAGCACAAGTTCATTCTTCGTCACGACTTCATAGTTCTCTACCACATGTTGTTTATCAAGCATGTGCTGATATGACTTTCAATTCTTTCTCATGATACAGTAACAGCCTCATAAATCCGCATCCTATGGTAACACCTGACTCTACAATTCTCTCTGTTGCTGGAATGCCATTACTAAAGAAATAAGATGCTTCCTGGATGTACTCATCCCCTCTGCCATCTCTGGTACAATCTCACTCTTGCATCATCATTGTCATGTTGGTCCCCAAGGTCATCAGTGATATGGCTTGCTCCTCTCCTGTCTCACCTGGCTCATTCTCCTCCTACTATGTATCAGCCACATCAGCTTCTTCATTGCACCCCAAAAATGCGTGTCCTTTTACTTTCTTGTCTTGCTTTGAACCCCAACCTGGGGTCAAATGCAATTCACTGTATTTTGTTGCACAGAAATCTCACAAAGTAGAGTTAAATATTTTCCCATGGAGGCATCTCTAATTCTAGTCCTTTGATGTGTTCCCAAGGTGTTTTGCTCTTACTTGCAATGCCTGCTGTCTTTATTCACCTGGCCTATTTTTTCCTCTATGATGACAATATGTATCTTTTATTGTTGTCACATAAGCCTGGCAAAGAAAAGCATCCAAAAAGAATGCCCTGAAAGTGGATACTGCAGAGGGGGTGGGGCTGAACGTTCTTGTTGTCACATAAGCCTGGCAAAGAAGAGCATCCACAAAGAATGCCCTGAAAGTGGATACTGCAGAGGGGGTGGGGCTGAATGTTCAGTTAGAAGTCCTGGGTCAAGGATTAGTGTGGAGGCAGAGGCCGGGCTGTCAGGATGTAGTCCTTCAGCCCTTAGGCTTTGTATCTTTGTAAAAGACAGCATCTCAGAATGAGGTCGAGAGCAGGAGGAGAGGGATGGTACAGAGGTGGAAGGTGCTCTCTGTAAAATAATTAGGGAGGTTTTTAAGCCATCTGTTTTCTTTCTGTGCCCATACTTTTAATCTCAGATAAATGTGTACTTCTGCAACAAGTTTGCACTTTCCTAGATTATTTTTTTTTCTCAAAAATAAATCACCAGTGCTTAGGATCTAATTTTGGAATAAATCATTCACTTGAGCTCTCTTTCATACTGTTTGTTTGGACTGAAAACTGCAAATTTAACTGCAAATTTGTCCCAGGTGGGTGATGAATGGTGTCCCTCAGGAAGCTGTCAGTACCCTTCACATGAGTGTGTAAAGAGAGGCTTGGAACAGAGTGAGGAAGATGTCAGAAAAAGCTCCGTCCCAGGCTAGGAGAACAGGAAGTCTATAGCAGGGACCTCCAGGGGACCTCCCATTCCAAACATCTATAATTCTGAAATTTATATGCAGACCACACTAAGAGATGGGGCAGTAGTTGACAATCTACTCAAGAGGTAAGGCATAGAGTGTTCCTTTTTCCCTTTCAGCAAAAGCTGCAGATTTAATATAAGATCATAGTAAAAAGTCCGACATTTCTACTCTGTGGATCTGGGCTAAAGCTGAGATTTGATTTTGAAATATGAACATAAACTGTAACTACCTCAATTTCAGTCACTAGGATTTATATTTATATATAACCTTTAAAGTTCTCCCAACTTTTTACCCTGGAGAAATGAGAAAATTACAGTCCTCTCACTGCTGGAAGTCTAGAGTGGCTTTCCTTCTAGGTTAATGGAAAACCTACCCTGCTAGTGCCCAGCCTTCCAGCAGCTGCCACCTCTTCTGACTGATGTGAGCTCTCACACCTGAAGACATCACTGTGTGTCTCCCATGTTAAACCGAGTGCTTCTGTGGTTCAAGCTCAATTGCAAATCATCTTTAAAACACTTTTTCTTGGTGCCTTTAAGCACACTATTTGTTTTGGAATTGTCCCTTCACAGTACAAAGCTCCCACTTAATGTTCAGATTGCTTGTGGCAAAGCCATTTCCACTCTGGAAATGACTCTCCACCGTGACATTGTTTGTGCTGCTACTGCCCAGGCTGTCATGGGACTTGTTCCCCCTGTTCACCTTCTTACCTCCCCATGGACTCTGCCTTCTCTATGTATGGAATCAAGTTAGAAATATATGATGTCATGCTTGAGAAGATTTAACCTTTATACTCACTCTTGATTAAGGGATGAAGAGATTGAAGTAAGTGCAGCAAGGGGCATCACAAAGCAAGTAGCAAAATCAAACTATGATGCCAGCTTTGACCCTTGGCTTTTTATCTTTCTGCAGTGAGATGAGGTAAGCTGAAGGAAGGACCCGGAAATGGTTGTAAGAGCCACCAACAGGCACAATGGATAAGCAGTTTCCTTTCAGATGGCTGGCAGAATGCTTTTACTATCTTTACGCACACACACACACACACACACACACACACATTCACAGTGTACATATTGAAGCCTAGAACAATGCTGAAGTGCCACATAATATAGGCTGAGTGATTTCTTCTCTACTCACAGGTAAGCAGACAGAGCCCGAGACTAAGAGCAGGCCTTTTCTAGAAGCAGAAAACATGGTGGGGTGACAAGGTTGTAAAAGGGACACAGAAACACTGTAGTGTAGGAGGCTGATGTGCCGCTTTGGAGACTATCTACCAACTTGTGTGCCAAGACCTTGGGGTGAAGGCAGGATTCCAAATGTTCCAAATCCTTCACATTATCTTGTGCTATTCTGATGCACACACAGCAGTGACCATCCTCTCTGAAAAGGAGGCAATACTTGCCTACCTTCCTCTAGAAGTTTGTAGGAATTTAATGAAGCTTCATGCCCAGCAGGATTTTGTAATCCAAAAGGCTGTAAAGGCAGCTGTTCTTAATTATTGCTCTGGGATTTGATTAGAAATCAGAAAAATTAACAGAGGCAAAATATATTATGTAGTGAGTTTATGAATTTTACATGTACTTCATAATTGAATATTCACTTGTTCACTGGCTATTTTTTGAGTGTTTACTAGGTTTTCTGATATAGGTAATCCCTAGATGAACTCAGTGCCCAACTTGAAAGAGCTATAACTGATCTATACTGATCTATAACAAAGGAGAGCAGAAAGGAAACTGCAGTGTGGGCACGAGATTCTTACAGTTGAGATAATGCAGCATATGGGAACTCAGAGGGACTCAGACCAGTGGGTGGGAGGCATCAGTAAGTCACTGGAGAAGATAATTCCTAAGATGAGCAGGATCTAGGAGGTGCAGGGGAGGAAGTCAAAGGTAGAGTGCTCCAGACAGACAGAGCCACGTGAACAGTGGTTAAGACAGAGGGAGGATGCTTTGGTGGGAGAAACTCTAATGTCCTTTAGATGGCAAAAGTGAGACAAACACATTTATGAATAGATACACACACACACAGACACACACACAGAAACTCTGTCTCT